AAGATTGAGTTAGAAGATTGAAGTTTTCCTGAAACGAACATCAAAACTGGAATGGCCCCTTCTACGGGAGACTGTCCAGAGTCCAGACCAAATTAAAAGGACAAAAAAACAGCTTTCCAAGAAAGCTTAAGCCACACCAAAATTAGGTTTCGTAGAAATTAGCAATATAGCCTCAAAACCAAAATCAGTGAGAAATTTAAATTTTGATAAAACAAGAAGTAAAAAAAGAGCAATTCATAATCAAAACCAGCCAGAACTTAATTCTGTTAACACAAGAGTTCAGAACATATTATAATAATAAATATTAAAGATTAAATATTAAAATTACCTGAAGCAATTCAAGAAGAAGACCGGTTGAGAAAACTGAAAGGGCCGTGCCGGTGGCTGATCGAGAAAGCAGGGTGAGTCTTTGGCGTAGGCGGGGAAGAGGTGAATAGCCGTGACCTGCGGCAGATCGAGAAAACAGAGCGAGTGTTAGCGCCGGCGGGGAAGAGGGTGAATAGGGAAAAAAATTCAAATTATACAGTTATAGTTTATCCAAAACTGTATATGAATATATATTCCTGATCGAAAATGTGAACTTCATTTACTATAACTTCCTGTGCTTTGAGTGTTAGCTGTTAAACATAAACCAAAGCAAATTAATCCAGAGCAGCTCAGCCTTTATGTTAAATGCTATATATGTTACTTTATCAATTAATCAATTTAAATACTTGTAGCATTTTAAAATGAAGTTTATACTTTACAACTCAAAGTATTTAAATTGATAAGTTGGTACTTTAATTTAGTTTAGACTTCAGAGTTTATACTTTAGATGATGTTCACTTTAAAATTTAAATTGATACTTTAGCATTCATACCAAATTATGATTTGAACCATTGCATCTCATGCCTCACACTTTAAGACATTCTTGTGATAGTTGTGAGAAAAATTCTTGGCTGAAACTTTGTTAAGAACAGCTCATAGGTTGATGTAAATAACACCGGTGGTTGAAAATCAGCTCATAGCTCATAGGTTGATGTGATAATTATGATTACATTAAAAAAATTAATTTTAAAGCACCTTAATACATTAAAAAAATACATTAAAATGAAAATCATGAAATCCAAGTTCCGGTTCTGAATAAGTATAACTAAGTTCATTTATAAACAGTACTTTTCTATTATCATTTATAACTAAGCTAACAGATGATTAAGCTTATCTAGGTTATTATTATGCCTCTTTTTCTTGAAAAGAAATTAAATTAGAAAAACAAAAAACACATAAAGTAAAAGGATAAGAAATACATCATATTAATTAAAAAATTATCAAAATGCTTTTAATCTATTTCTTTCAAACATAAAAATATCTATGCAAAAAGAAAGATTGAAATTGTATTTACTATAAATCAATTATTGGATCAGTGCTATAAAAGAAAGATTGAGTTAGAAGATTGAAGTTTTCCTGAAACGAACATCAAAACTGGAATGGCCCTTTCTACGGGAGACTGTCCAGAGTCCAGACCAAATTAAAAGGACAAAAAAACAGCTTTCCAAGAAAGCTTAAGCCACACCAAAATTAGGTTTTGTAGAAATTAGCAATACAGCCTCAAAACCAAAATCAGTGAGAAATTTAAATTTTGATAAAACAAGAAGTAAAAAAAGAGCAATTCATAATCAAAACCAGCCAGAACTTAAACTCTATTAACACAAGAGTTCAGAACATATTATAATAATAAATATTAAAGATTAAATATTAAAATTACCTGAAGCAATTCAAGAAGAAGACCGGTTGAGAAAACTGAAAGGGCCGTGCCGGTGGCTGATCGAGAAAGCAGAGCGAGTCTTTGGCGTAGGCGGGGAAGAGGTGAATAGCCGTGACCTGCGGCAGATCGAGAAAATAGAGCGAGTGTTAGCGCCGGCGGGGAAGAGGGTGAATAGCGAAAAAAATCAAATTATACAGTTATAGTTTATCCAAAACTGTATATGAATATATATTCCTGATCGAAAATGTGAACTTCATTTACTATAACTTCCTGTGCTTTGAGTGTTAGTTGTTAAACATAAACCAAAGCAAATTAATCCAGAGCCGCTCAGCCTTTATGTTAAATGCTATATATGTTACTTTATCAATTAATCAATTTAAATACTTGTAGCATTTTAAAATGAAGTTTATACTTTACAACTCAAAGTATTTAAATTGATAAGTTGGTACTTTAATTTAGTTTAGACTTCAGAGTTTATACTTTAGATGATGTTCACTTTAAATTTTAAATTGATACTTTAGCATTCATACCAAATTATGATTTGAACCAGAGCATCTCATGCCTCACACTTTAAGACATTCTTGTGATAGTTGTGAGAAAATTTCTTGGCTGAAACTTTGTTAAGAACAGCTCATAGGTTGATGTAAATAACACCAGTGGTGTCTGTTGCTGTCAATTAATTCTCTTGCAAGATTACCGAAATATTAGAGACTTAACTCTCCAAATGTATAAGTCAAAACTACACAATTTAATAAAATAAAGACTGAGATTTCATGCCACTCACTGATGTTAGGCTTCTCAATTCCAGTAATTCCATACAACTCACTGATGTTAGGCTTCTCAATTCTTTGAGGAGTTTTGTCAAACACATTGTATGCAAACAAGAATATTGAGTTACTTCATATTTTTTCACAAACTACTTAATATATATCAATGGTCAGTTTCATCACACATATTCATAAGTAGAAATACACTCAGATGTTTACTAACTAACCAAAATCAGTTTCTATGATCATACTTTGGAATGTAAAACACAAATCATATCTAAATATTATTGAAAATAAGAGATAATATTGATGAAAAGTGAAAAAACAATGAAGTGGTGGACAACGTACTTACTAGCTAGAGTTGTGGGCGGCCGGAGAAGAGAACGAAAGAAGAATCACGCACAGAGGGAGAACATGAGGAGGTAAGCTAGAGGAAAATATTTCGCTGCTGTAGAAGGGAGTGACCTGATTTTGCGATGAATTCGACCGATTTAGAGCTGTAGTCGCCCGATTAGGTGCTGTAGCGAGATATAAAACCGCGGCAAGGATTCACTGAGAATCCCTTAAGCTGCAGATCGGCGAGGCGATTCTCTTAGAATCGCAGCAGATAGGGCGATTAGGCGCTGTAGCGAGATAGACCTGGAGAATCGCAAGGAGATGGGCACGGCGAGGAAGATCGATTAGCAACGTACTGATCGAATTGAAGATGGAACTTAAATTAGGGCAAAGTAATGAAGTTGGGCGACGAACTGAGATTAATTAGGTCTAGTAGCTCACCGCCTAATGATAAGTATGCGACGGACTCCTGGAGCGAAAATTTTTGGGATTTGGGAATTTTGGCGGTCGACTTATGTTTTATTTTCCAATTTTTAGAAAAGTAAATTAATTAACAATTTGATTAGTAATAACGATGACAACGCATTTTGATTAATAATGACGAGTTTTAATAAATAGTCGTTAATGGTAAATTCAATAACGATGACTTTTCATAAATAGTCGTTAATGATAAATTTAATAACGACGAACTCGTTAATCATTGTTAAAAGGTATTTTTAATGACAAATTGTGAAAGTCGTCGTTATAAGGTGGTCGTTAGAAGTCCTTTTTCTAGTAGTGTACAAACTTGCATAATACTAGTAAATAAATATTACAAATGATAATAAAAATGTACACTTAGGCACTAACAACTAGTGCCTATCACATCACACTTATCTTCTTATACCTAAAAACACTACATATGAGAGAGAAAATGCTTCTACCCCTTTATTAGTCCGCTTATCTTATACCAAAAAGTATTACATATGTGAGAGAGTATTATCCCGCTTAACTTCTTATCTTATACTTAAAAGCACTGTATATGATAGACTAAATTCTCTCAATCAATTATTAGTTCATTTATCTTCTTATACCTAAACGCACTACATATGAGAAATGAAATTCTCCGTCTCAATTATTCGTCCGCTTATTTTAGATCTAAAAGTACTACTTGTGAGAGAGAAACCCCCTACTCATTTATTAGTGTGTTTATCTTCTTATACCTAAAAACACTACATATGAGTTAAAAATTGATTCTCCCAGTTAATTATTAACCTGCTTAAATTATTATACCTAAAAGCACTACATATGATAGAGAATATTATTCCGCACAAATTAATAGATTTTTTATACATCCGATATTTGTATCATATGAAAGATAATAAAAAGATATGAATCGTGATATATTTCTTGTAACAATCGAAGTACAAATAAAATAGTTATAACACGTATTGTACTATAAAAGAGAAGTTTTTTTGAAGTATTGAATCATTTTTGTATTTTATATATACAATTTTGGTGTCATATGAAAGAACAAAATCAAGTATGATACATTTCTTGTAACAATCGGAGTACAAATAAAATAGTGCATCACTCGGTGACTCGGATGGATTACTAGTTATCAATATAATATACTCTAATTCACTAAAAAATACTCGTACAGAATTGCAGAGACTTTTGGTTCCCAAAAATTCATAGATGATTTGGCAAGATACGTCAAAGACATTTTGGTACGGGTTATTTGACATGATATCATCGGTCAATCACTATCAAATTAGTATCAATTCAGTAATTTTTTTGTAGTGATTTTCGTTAGTTATATCTTTATTATATTTTCGGTGTGGATGAACAAGGACCGAAGGCAGGGGCGCAGCTAGGGAGGGCCAACCCTGACCAGGCACATCCCAAATTTAAAAAATATCGGTATTTTTAGTATAAAAAATTATGTGTAATTTTTTTTTCCATAAATATTAATTCTTTGTACTGACACAGTCTGATCGGGTGGGTTGGCTCCGCCCTTGAATGACGTACTTGTACATGCATGATGGATGTACGGGTAGAATCACATGGACGAGATCAATGAAAGGAATTAGAATTGTTCCAAACACCGTAACCATTGCTTTACTTTATTTACCTATTATTTTGCCAATCCGTAGGGTTGATTAAGAGGTGGAGTAATTAGTGGGCTGCCTGTTTTTTCTTTATTTATACCTCTAGATGTCATTTTAATGTAGAGTTTTTTAATAAATTAATGAACCAGCAGTGAGTTTTCTTTGCACCAGATTCAATTTAATATGGCGACTGATTCAATTCAAGAAAAGAAAACCACAAGCATATCAGATACGAACGTGTTTGGGAAACCCATAACGGTGAATGAATATGCGGACAGGGAAGCAAGAGCGAGCGCGGCGTACGCGCAGATCGACGGCGACGACAAACGGAAGAAGGTCAAAGATTACGTGCAGAACCTGAAGAAGTCTTTTGGGGACGGCGTTTCGGTTTTAGCCACCATTTACAACGCCACCGGAGAGAACCTTTACTTCTCCACCTCCAAAGACTGGTACGGGAAGCTATATACCGACGGCGGGTCCTCCTACCCCAAGATCATCCAGAACGGGCAGTGGGCGGGATTCTTGCATATCAAAAGCCCCTCTGTCCCTTCTGGCTCCGAAGCCGCCGTGGTTTACCGGGTCAAAGCCAAAGAGGGGGACGCCGGCGAGAACGCCGATGTGGTGATTGCTTGGGATGATTCTTGGGCTCCTGGTTCCAATAATAAGGTACCTACCTCATTAAAGGTTTCAAAGCCAAAGGATTTTAGTTTAAATTAGCTTAACAAATTGATATAATACCTCCGTTCTTAAATAAGTGCAACATGTTGAATTTTACACTATTCACGTGATATTGTACTTTGACTATGTTTTATTTATTAATGTATTAATATTTTTTTATGAAAAAAATATTGTTAGATTTCTCATTGTAAATTTTCAAAATCTATTTTTTTTAGTTTTTTTATTAATATAGAATTATACTACTACATTCGTCCCAAATTGATTTACAAATTTGACTTTTCTTGATCAAACGGATTCATTTTATTGGCTTATTTAGGATGTCTATTTGTAATTATATCTAATTTGGGATTTGCAACTTTGAAGAGATTTTAATGTAATTTCTAAATATGTAAATTTTAATTATTAAAAATTGAATTAATTATCGATACGGAGCATTGACTTTTATTATTGGTTGACCAAAAGATGTTGACTTTGCAAAACAATTTGGGACAAAAAAATGTTGACTTTGCAAAATAGTCAAAAAATTATTGGCTACCTCTGTTTGAGTTGCTTCTGGGTGGAAATTTTTGATGAACTTTTGTGAGAATGTTTTTCATCAAGTATATATTATGTCCACAAAATTTGACCTTAAAATTCATTCATTAAGTCATTCAAATAAAGGGAAAATCGCATATATGGTCCCTCAATTATCCACGAAATTAAAATCTCAGACTTGTATTTCTGAGATTGTAAATGTCACCCCTCAATTGTCTAAATTGTTGTAAATGTGGTCCTTTAAGTGGTGAAATATACTCTCGCCCACATTGTATATTTCACCCCTCAATAGGACAGCATTTACACCATTTTGGACAATTGGACAATTTAAACCCGTCATGGCATTGTTTGGAATCGGTACAGTCCGGTTCGAGACAAAAAATTGAGATTCGTTTCAAACCCCGTTTATCGGTTCAGTACCGTATCGTTCCGGTTTGGTACCATGCCAGTTCGGTATTTTTGCCCACCTTAGTATCAAATGAAATAGTGAAGTAAGCAACTCGTTTATATGTAAACCCTCTAGAGTACATATCTTGTGCAGTGCAAAGTCATACGAGAGAGAATCTTTGTGTTATGATAGCTACAAAAAACAATGGTATTGACACAGAACTGACATGGATCTCTATCTAGTTTGGCATGGGTCGTAACGTATTTTTGGCGCAGCTCTGATTCCCCTACACATTATATAAAAAAATTTTGGGGAGAAATTGATGCACTGAAAGTAGTGTATGTTGTACTACCTCCATCTCTGCTTAAGCTTTTCGGTTAAAAATAGCACTGAAAGTAGTGTATGTTGTACTACCTCCATCTCTGCTTAAGCTTTTCAGTTAAAAATAGCACTATTATTATTATTTAACAATCACATTATATATGTTGTACTACCTCCATCTCTGCTTAGCACTAATATTTCATTTTGAGAAAAAAAATTGTGAGTATACTCCATATAACATAATGAGGTGATTGATGATAACTATATAACGTTACATGTGATTGATTTACCATTTCGGGCTGGTGCGCGCAGGTTTACACAGAAATTGCGAAGACAGGAAGCTTATCGGGTTGGGATGATATAGGTAAGAAGATCGGATCAATGTCAGCGGCGGAGAGCAGCTTTAACATGAGACTCTACTCAACTGTTAGCATTGCGCAGGACAGTTCTGCAAATCTTGAGGCAGTCATCACCGCTACTAATTGATATACATACATATCATCCATCATTTATATTTGGTCATCTACATCTGCATGCATGCATATGCATGCATGGTGTTAAATAAATGCCGACGCATCTATATACTACCTCCGTTCTTAAATAAGTGCAACATGTGAAATTTTACACTATTCACATGTTCTACTTTGACTACATTTTATTTATTGATGTATTAATATATTTTTTTGAAAAATATATTATTAAATTTGTCTCATTGTAAATTTTCAAAAACTAATTTTTTAAAATTTTTTACTAATAGAGAATTATATATATTGATAGTCAAAGTGATGTCTCGGCAAGTGTGAAATGTTGACTGTTCAACTTATTTAAGAACGGAGGAAGTATAAGACTATATAACTGTGCGTACGTAGTTTAGTACTTAGCTAGTTAGCTTGTTGTTTGAGGTGGAAAAATAAAAGGCACTATGTATATATACGTGCGTCACAGGATTGAAAGGTGAACTAAACTGAGCACTAATAAAATTTGTTACGACACACATAACGTTTAACCAGTCATGTTTAACCAGCTTCAAACTCGAACACAAGCTAGATTTTTAGTTCGAAGTGTTATCCAAACATAGCGATATTCGGCTTGACACAGACTTGATCTAAGCCTGTTGATCACTTATAAGTTAATTATAATTAAAAATAAATTATACCCCGTATATCGTAAAATTTAAACGTTGTTAGTGTGATTTTATAAATTTACTAATGATTATTAAAGATTGAAGTATGTATTGAATAATTCAAACACGAATCTATCAAAGAGCATAGTCTAACGTCTAAACTTTTAAATTCAAGCATGTTTATCGCGCTTATCAAGCATTTGAATTGAAAACGAAAATCTGTTGATCCAAACTCGAGCTCTGATGAGCCGGTTAACAAGATAAGAAGGGGTCTCATGAGAAAGACGTTTTTGCCAGGATCTAATACGTGGTGTATAAGATCCTTTATAGTATTTACCCCATGAGCTTATTTCTTTTTGACATTCGATATGGTGTGGCGGAATACCTTATTTTGCGTGAATTGGGACTGATTGTATAGCCCATAGGTTTATGGTATATCCCATGTTTGGATAGCCCCATTTTTGTTCCCCATTTTTTGCCTCACTTGTACATAAACTCTTGTGGATGATATATATAATTACCCTTTATCCAAAAAAACAAGACAAGAAGGGGGTGAATTATGTGTGTGTAGAACTAGGACTATTTTTCACCGAGTTCTAGTGCGGGACAAGGGGAAACTGAAAATAAAGAACACAAGGATTTAACTAGAAAAAAACCCTTGGCTCAAAAGGGATTAAAAACCCTCAACCTTACTTAGGGGAATTTGAAACAATTTCACTAAAAGCCTTTGAAATTGTTACAATGCAAGATTAACCCTACTAATCTACCCTTGAGCCACCCCAACTCTATCCTCTCTAGGAAGAGTTTTGAATCTTTACCTTGCGGGTAGAGAGTCTCTTAGCTTTATAACAAAGCATCTCACAAATACTCCCAACTAGGAGGAGCTTTCACAAAGCAAATCTTCAAAACCACATTACATAAGTAAAAGTAAAGAACTAAAACTAGAACTCCTACATGAGCAGGTGCTTGGTTTTCTTATGATACTTCAAGAGTCATCTTCTTCATGCATCTTTCTGTCTCGGTCAAGCACAGCATTAATCATTACTATGATCTCTATATGTAAGTATCTGGAGAGATTAAGATCAGTAATATATGGTTAGTTGAACATTTATTTGCAAAAGTACCAATGTCAAGAAATAGAATGTTTTCATTAAACATTGAAAACGGGGGTCCAAAATGTTTGAAAGCGTGTTTTAAAAATTCATCTTGGATTTGGCACTTGAGGTTTGGGCATCTTAATTTTGGAGGTTTAAAATTGTTGAGTGATAAAGATATGGTGAAAGGTTTGCCCAAAATCAATGAAGCTAATCAATTGTGTGAAGGGTGTTTATTTGGAAAGCAACCAAGAAAAAGTTTTCCAAAGCAAGCATCTACAAGAGCAAAACAATCATTAGAGCTTGTACACACGGATATATGTGGGCCAATTAAACCAAGCTCTCTCGAAAATAGTAATTATTTTGCTCTTTTCATTGAATATTTTAGTCGGAAAACATGAGTTTATTTTCTAAAACAAAAATCTGACGTTTTTGGGGCCTTCAAGATATTTAAAGCTCATGTTGAAAATGAAAGCGGGTTTAAAATAAAATCCATGAGATCTGATCATGGGGGGAATTCACGTCAAAAGAATTTGAAAATTTTTGTGAAGAAAATGGTATTCATCGCCCCTTAACGGCTCCATATACTTCACAACAAAATGGAGTCGTTGAAAGGAAAAATCGATCTCTTCTTAATATGGTCCGAAGCATGCTTAAAAGTAAAAATGTTCCAAGAGAGTTTTGGGCCGAAGCCGTGGATTGTGCAGTTTATTTGTCAAACCGATCTCCTTCTAGAAGTGTTTGGAACAAAACCCCCGAAGAAGCATGGAGTGGAAGAAAGCCCGGAATTGCCCACTTGAAAGTTTTTGGGAGTATTGCTTACGCTCATGTGCCGGATCAAAAAAGAAGCAAATTGGATGACAAAAGTGAGAAGTTTATCTTTATTGGATACGATGCAAGAGCAAAGGGGTACAAGTTATACAATCCAAGTAATGGAAAAATTGTGGTTAGCCGCGATGTTGAGTTTGATGAAGAGAACACTTGGGATTGGACTCAAAAGGAAGAAGACTACAATTTCTTGCCTTACTACAATGAAGAAGAAGAGGAGCAAGAGCTAGCCCATGAAGAGCCCACGAGTCCAACTCCACCATCACCCGAGCAAGAAGGATCCACAAGTGAAGACAACTCAAATGAAAGACCGCCTCGCTTAAGGAGCATACAAGAGCTATATGAGGTAACCAAAAATATAAATGATCTAACATTATTTTTTCTTCTTGCCGAATGTGAACCAATAGGTTTTGAAGAAGCGACTAACGACAAGAATTGGAGGGAAGCCATGGATGAAGAAATGAAGGTCATCATAAAAAATGATACGTGGGAATTGACCACTTTACCCAAAGGACACAAAGCAATTGGTGCAAAATGGGTGTTTAAAGAAAAGAAGAATGCCATGGGGGAAGTTGAAAGGTACAAATTAAGGTTAGTTGCAAAAGAGTACAACCAAACAGCCGGTATCGACTATGAAGAGGTATTTGCTCCCATTGCTCGCTTGGAAACAATAAGATTTTTAATTTCTTTGGCGGCTCAAAATAAATGGAAATTTTTTCAAATGGATGTGAAGTTCGCATTTTTAAATGGAAAGTTATAAGAAGAAGTTTATTTAGAACAACCACCGAGATATAAAATAAAAGGGCATGAAGATAAAGTTCTAAAGTTGAAAAAGGCACTTTATGGTTTGAAGCAAGCCCCAAGAGCTTGGAATACTAGAATTGATAAGTATTTCCAAGAAAATAATTTCATAAAATGTTCCCATGAACATGCTCTTTATGTCAAAAAGGAGGAAAATGGAGATATCTTGATTGTTTGCCTTTATGTTGATGATCTAATATTCACGGGAAATAATCCCAATTTATTTGAGAATTTCAAAAGGGCAATGAGTCAAGAATTTGAAATGACCGATATGGGCTTAAAATGGATGATTGTAATCCAATCAATACCTCGGTGGATTGTGGTGTAAAGTATCTGAGTTTGGTGATGAAGAAAAAGTGGAGCCCACAATATTCAAGAGCTTTGTTGGGAGTTTACGATACTTGACTTGTACAAGACCCGACATTTTATATGGAGTTGGTCTCATTAGCCGGTGGTATATGGAAGATCCAAGAACCTCTCATTGGAAGGATGCCAAGAGAATTCTTCGCTACATCAAAGGATTTGTCTTTTTGGGGGTAATACGGCTTTTACTTGGAGTTCAAAGAAGCAACCCATTGTGACCCTCTCCACATGTGAAGCTGAATATGTTGCCGCAAATTCATGTGTTTGTCATGCTATATGGCTTCGAAATCTATTCAAGGAAGTACGCATGCCACAAAAGGAAGCTACGGAGATATATTTGGATAATAAGTCGGCAATATCATTGAGAAAGAATTCGGTATTCTATGACCGTAGGAAGCACATTGATACCCGCTATCACTACATTCGAGAATGCATTGAAAAAAAAGAGGTTGAAGTAAGGTATGTAAGGTCTCATGATCAAATCGTCGACATTTTTCACGAAGCCGCTCAAGCACGAAGATTTTTGAAGGTTGAGGACCATGCTCGAAGTTACAAAAACAAGTTTAAGGAGGGATGTTGAAAATTAAACTTGTTTTTGGGCCTAATTAATATTAAGTTTTAGTTGTTGTTGGGAAGGCCGAAGTGATAGAAAAATGTAGAAGGAATAAATTCTAGAACTTCTCTAGAAGATATGGTCTCTAGAACTCTCCTATCATTAATTGTATAGAATTGTCTAGAATACATTAATTATAGAAGAGTCTAGACACTTTGTACTAGTATAAATAGAGCTCCCCTACCTCCACTTTGTATCAAACAAATCAAGCAAATTGAATTATTCTAATAAAAAGCGTTCTTCCCCTTTATTCAAATATCTCTTCTATAATATTTCTAATTTAGTCTCCAATTTCTCAAATCTTTCTTCATTTATTTCGAACAATATTGGGGTATTTTTCCCTAATTTTAATACATAGTAGTTTCCGATTTTATGAGGGTCTGTGTATGTAGCTATAGGATGGAAGAGTCGGAGGTAGATATGCATTTAGGAACATGATGAGTAGCTGGCCGGCCCAGGGTGAGTGATAAATGGAGATAAGGATTGATAACTGTCTAGCATCCGCGTATGTGAAACATCGTACATGTTGACAGCTCATTATTTGTCCTCACTCATGCGTCAATTACTCTCCAGGGCCCACAAAAGCGAATTATTGAGCACGAACGCGATCCGCATGCAGGGTACAAATAGACCAGTCCTCTCCTTCAGTGATCATCACCCGAAATAAAGTAATATTTTCCGGCGGCCGGCGATCAGCTAGCATGTCTGCTTCGAACGTGTTTGGGAAGGCAATAACGGTTCTTGATTACCCGGACAGGGAAACGAGAGCGAGTGCGGCCTATGCACTGATCAATGGTGACGACAAACACTCGCAGGTGACGGATTACGTGAAAAATCAGAAACAGTCTTATGGGGACGGCATTTCGGTTTTAGCCACCATTTATAACGCCACCGGTGAGAACCTTTACTTCTCCTCCTCCAAAGACTGGTACGGGAAGCTTTATACCGATGCCGGGGGCTCCTACCCCAAGATCATCCAGAACGGGCAGTGGGCGGGATTCTTGCACATCAAAAGCTCCTCTGTCCCTTCTGGCTCCGAAGCCGCCGTGGTTTACCGTGTCAAAGCCAATGAGGGTGCCGCCGGTGAGAATGCCGAGGTTGTGATTGCTTGGGATGATCCTTGGGCTCCTGGTTCCGATAATCAGGTATATATGTACCTACCTTACTGCCTTAGCTTCTTAGTTTATGCTATTCGTGTACCCTCTCAATTCAAAGATGAAGCTGAAATGTGAAGATGCTGGAATGGTGCAGGTGTACACGGAAATTGCAAAGGCAGGAAGCTTATCGAGCTGGGATGATATCTCAAAGAAGCTGGATTCAATGTCAACGGCGGAAAGCAGCTTTAACCTGGGGCTCTACTCAACTGTGAGCATTGGGCAGGACAGTTCTCCAATTCTTGAGGCAATTATCACTGTCACTTAATTGGCCGGCCGCCTCATCATCTGATCTCTGAGATCGATTCTGACCACTTGGTTCTTTTCGCATGCATTCATGCATGATGAATAAAGATGGTGTTGCTCTGATCTTAATTGTTGTGTGAAATAAAATGCAGTAAGTATGTGTATGCAGTCTTGGCTACGTACAGTACTACATGCAGTTGCATGCGGTTGTGATCGATGATCAATGAATGAATTGAATAAACTATTCACTATATTAATTAATTAGTGTTGCACTGTTGCATGTACGTACGTACGTACTAAATGTGCTATCCCTCTCCAAGTTTGTCATACTTTGTTAGTTAAACAGGGGAGTCCCGAATTACCGTTGGTATTTATATCATCAAATTCTTTTAGGTCTCGACCAGATGATCGAGATCTTCAATTTTTTGAAACTTAGAAAGTTCTTCGATTAGTCAAACAGTTTTAAAAACCGTTCTTGGGAGACTAAAATATGAATGGAAGATCCAATTGAATTCAATTGGGTCTGTTGGGATCAGAACAAAATTATGGATCTTCTTCTATTCTTGATCAGAGATTTCTATATGAAAACTTTAATTATTTGTTTGAGTCTTGCTCGAGCTGGATGATTAAAAATGATCATGTCCGGTAATACTACTACTACTACTACTACTACAAATTTTAAGGAGATAATTTGATTTTACAGTGTAACGATACTATTTCACACTGTAGCGACACTGTTTTGCACTGTTTGACACTGTTTTACATTGTTCGACACTATTTGGTATAGATTTGTTTACCAAATAAGGAAGTTGAAAAAGTAAGACAAACATTTTGGGACATTCGTTTCGGGAAAGTGTGACAAAGTTGAAGGAACGGAGGGGGAGTAACTCCTTATATTATTTTTAATTAATACCCTTACGAACAAGCTAAGCAAATCACATCTATTACCAGGCCGGGCCGGTATGCGGCCACTATGCAGCCAAAAAAATTAGGCTTTTCCTTCCAACACAACGTATCGTAGAAATAAAACATACTAACTTCGTTCCTATTATAACTTCCAAATAAGTTTGTCACACAATTTGAGATACTGAGTATTGTGTGGTGGAGAGTTGTGCAGAGGAGAGAGAAATATGTAAGAAATGTTGTGAACCACAAATTCTTTACTAAAAATAGAAAGTGGAAGTTTTAATCGGAACGAACAAAAAAGAAAAGTTGGAAGTTATAATAGGAACGGATGGAGTAAATAAATACTCCCTATGCTAATTAATAGTGATAATAAATTATTGAAATAATGAACTAAACCTGTACATGTTTCCCAATTTCAAATTAAAAGTTAATTAGAATTTCTTGTTAAGCACTATAAATTATAAATTTGCCCAAAAACCTAATAACTTACTTGTGCAGTCATAACAATTTCTGAAATTCTTATGGATAGAGATAGGAATTGATTTTTTATCCTACCTAAAGTTGTTGCACGTCACACAGTATTACAAAAAATAGTCACAAAGTATCTCTCATAGGATTTTACTTCCTAAAAATCTATGCTTAGCTAGTCAAATGGACAATAATTATGAGAGTGAATTATCAAAATAGGACAAAAAAGTGGCCAAACAGCACGAACATGACTACATTTTTTAATTCCCCTAATAGGACTATTTATGTGTGTTTCGACAAATATACCCTTGTAGCTTTTGGAATGTCTTAATTAATAGGGTTTTTTACAAGAATATTATTAAAATAAAACATATTTACATAAATATGACTATTCATTACTACAATGTGGTGTTGTGGTAACTTAAGTTCAAAACTTGAACATGAATTACTATGATTTCATTACTACTCTAGTCATTAGTCATATTTTTGTAAATCATCTTTATTTTGGTCATATTTATGTAATTATTTCTAATTAATAATAGAATCATAAAAAATATAAAAAATGTAAAAAAAATAATAAAAAGAGAATAAATATTAAAAATAAATAAAATATTTGTAGAAAAAAATATAAAAAGTTAAAAAAATAAAGATTTAAAAAATAAAAATAAAACGTAAAAAAAAGCCGCCGCCTCTGCCACCCCTAGCACCACCAGCTCCCATCACCGATCGGAAATCTGCCAACATTTTTAGTAATGCTATAATAATGGTAGATTCAATGAGAATTTTGGCATTATGATGAGTAATGATGTCATTTTCTTGGCATTTTCAGAAAATGCTATTTTTCACAAAAAATGGGAGAATTTTCACCGATCGGAGGTGGTCGTGCTGGGAGACGGTAGGAAAGGTGTCCATCTTTTTATGGGGTTTTTACTATTTTTAATTAATTTTAAAAAAAAATATTTTTTTTGTATTTTTATAAATATTTTATTTATTATTTTTATGGTAATCCGTCCTTCATCTCATTCAAATTTAAATATTAACATATTATAAGACCAAAGAATTTATGATTTATTATATACAAACATATGTATGTAGAAGTATATTTGTAGTATAATTTTTAAAAAAAGTATGTATACTTATATATTGAGCGGGGCGGAACAGGTCAATACTAATACCCGGACCCGCCCCATTGTATGGGCAGAACGGGGCGGACCCACCCCATTTGCAAGACGGGGTGGAGCGGACCCGCCCCAAATGTCTTGGTCCAGGGCGGGTCATTGCGGGCCAGGTTTTTTTGACATGCCTACTTTCATAATTTCCCATATAGGGTGAGTGTGTGTCGCTATGTCATGTTTCAGGACTTCTAGCTGCTTGCCCATATCGGTGGCTCAGCATGTGGAGATGACCGCCAATGGGTAAGTGTAACACCCCCAAATTTTCCACCCAAAACATTGGTATATTTGAAAGAAAATCTTTCTTCATTCATAATAGAGTTGAAGAAATACAGCGAAAGTCTTAATAGGGAAATGAGTGTTACCGCCACATCTGGTCATCTCTTAACCGAATGCATAGGCAATCCCAAAAAACAAAGTAAAACAAGTATTCAACATAAGTAAAATTTTTATTCTTGACTAGGTTTGACTAAGGCATCTCTAGGCCGCTCTCAAGGCCATGCAATCATGAATCAACATAAACATCATTACCTGCACAAATAAAGTGCAGAAAACAAAACAAAGAAAAGGAAACAAAAATTAGCTTTAGATCTATGTAAGTACTACCCAACCCCGTAAAATAATCAGGTTTGACAAAATAGTTTTTCTTACATTACTATATCTATGAAAATTCATTTTCTTCCCACAAAACTACTTTCATGTTTAAAATAATATTTATAAACTCTAAATAACTCACACATTCATAAAAAATATCACTTTTCGATCCAAAAATAACTTTATAGCTAATCACTCTTCACAAATAAACTCAATTTCTCTTCGAAAGTAATCTTAGTAATTCTTCTCTTTGAGTTTTCTCAAAAAAAAAATCTCACTAACTTTCTAGTAATTTAGAAGGGTGTTGCTCAACATTTTGGTCGAGCCCGGTGGTCTGTTGTTATGTACGGCCACCTTGGGACTTTTGCCGGTATCACAACGTAACTGCACACGTTCATAAATTCCCAGAAAATCATACATCATCATATCTATACTATAATAACCGAAATATTCATAAAATTTCAACAAGAAACCTAAATCATAGCACAACCCCTAATTAATACGTAGTACATAATATGGGTAAAATAATAATTTTGATTGCAATTGTCCTTACCTCGAATCACGATGAATCCTAATCAAAGCTTCTATCTTGATCTTCTCCAATTTCACCTTCTAGAATATTAAAATTATAGAATTAATCATTTATTTATAAATTGAGATTAATTATCCCACCTTAGATTAACTTATTTAATTAACTAGTCCAAGAGAGTAATCAGCCCAGTCCATATTCATAATACGAGTTTTTGCCATTTTCGGTCCCTCGACTATTGCGTCAGTGACACTTTTGGTACTCGACTTTCAATTTTTCCACGTTTAATCCTAGACTATAGTGCAAGAGACACTTTTAGTCCTTTACTTCAAAGTTTCCCACATTTAGTCTCCGAGTATTATCACTTTGACACTTTTAGTCCTTCCACAATGATTTTGAGATAACAAGTGTAGGACTAAAAATGTCACTCCTATAATAGTTCAAGGATCAAAAGTGTCACTTTTATGAAAGTCGAAGGCCTAAATGTGGAAATTTTCAAAGACGGGTACCAAAAGTGTCTTTCGCACAATAGTTGAAGGACTTAAAATGGAAAAACTCAAAGTCGAGTACCAAAAGTGTCAGTGACATAATAGCCGGAGGAATAAAAGTGGAAAAAAATCTTCATAATACTATGGGTATTACGTAGTAAGTAAAACAACAGAGTGGACTCACTTGTCTTCTGCGGCTTTCAAAGAAGAGTAAATTCCTCATCATATGATCCGGCGGAAGGGTCGGCAATTATGAGCCAGAGAGGAAACTCCTTGCACTGCTTTTCAATCCAAATTCACAAATTTGGCCGGACAAACGATTGAAAAACCAGTGAAGAAAAACTACCAAAAAGCGGCGACAAGATAGAGGACAACGACTTTGAAATACAGAGATCAGGATTTCGGAGGCTCGGAGCGGTCGACTTAATGGCAACATGGTACGTTTACCGTCTTTTTTTCAATATTCAAAGCAAAGAAAAACAAAGTTATGGGAGCAGTTCCTGGATTTAGGGCTCGTGAAACCATTTGAGCATGTTCAAATTTGTTCGTGCCAGAGTATAGATTAAAATTGAATGCCACTATTATGGAAGAATTGAACAAAGAAATGGAAAAGGATTTAACTTGACAGAAGTCAAGAAATGGAAGATTGTTTGAGTAATGGAACAAAATTAGTCAAGAAAACGCATAAAGGTGAAATAAATACGGAGTATGAAAATTAGTAACATATATGATACAAATTGGTAGATGAAGACTTAACATGCCAAAATGATGGCAAAACTATGAAACTAGTGTTGGTAAAAAATACAGAATTGGAAAACACGGATGGATATAATTGGTAAAAAAAGAAGAGAGATTTCCCTAAATGGGATTAAAATAGAGTAAAATTGCACAAATAAGACAGTCATGTTTTATTGATCAAAATAGGACCAAAATTGTACCAATGGACAAAATTACCCTTAATGAAACAAAAACAAAAACATATTCAATAGGGCCATGATCGCTGCACCTCCATCGACTATTTGCAGCAAGACCTCTCCAGACCGTCATCGCCACCAATAATACCCTCCTCTACGCCATTCATCGCCACCAAGATCGTCGCCGCCACTTACCGGCGAGGTCGCTGCCGCTTCCACCGACAAGACCGCCGGTGTTATCCT